TCTTTCCTTCCATCTATCCATCAAGTGCAGTAGTGAGAAGGGGTGAAGAGTTGAACAAGGAGTTTGGTCTGTAACTGACTGAACAATCAAACTGAGATAATTCACTACTTTTGGACCAGACTGAGGCTGCTTCTTAGGCCCTCATTTTGGGGACTTTGGTGTATTATTTTCTGAGCCCCTACAGGATCATCACACTCACCTCAAAGGAATGCATGAGGGTTAAATGAGATAACAGAAAAATCTCTTGTCACCTCTCTGAGCCTCAGCTTCCCAATTTGTAAAATGGGTTAATTATTGTATGTACTTTATAGAGCTGTCTGGATCAAAGGAGGTAGTCACTGTAACCATTTAGTGCACCGATTGGCACATGGCAAGAGATTAACAAACTGTAGCTTTCGAAAGGAGCCCAGCATGGAGCAGGTGTTCCAAAAATGAAGGCTGAGTCCAAGTCACCTTCCAAGTTTTTAATTTTTATTCACGATAACAGAATATATTCTATTATGCAGAATATCTTCTCCATAATGTCCTTACTTGTTTTCATTGTCTGTTCTCTATCAGCTCTAAATGAAGATGTTCTACACTGTTCTTCCTATTCATGCATGTAACAGATTTAACTAATTCTTATGGGCTTGTCTGAACCTGTTGAAGGAGAGACCGGTTTCATGCTATTAAGATTACATAACTAACCTCCCTCCCTCCCTTCCTTTCCTTCTTTCCTTTCCTTTCCTTTCCACGGGGTCTCACTGTCAACCAGGCTGGAGTGCAGTGCTACAATCATGTCTCTCTGTAACCTAGAACTCCTGGGCTCAACCAGTTCTCCCACCTTGGCCTTCCAAAGTGCTGGGATTACAGGCATAGGCCACCTTGCCTGGCCTGACTATATTAATTTCAAATATAATAGAGAAATATATCTTCCTCTAGGACTTTGCAGTGGACAAAGACCCTTCATACCCATTGCTTTATTTAATTCTTCTAACAGTGCTGGCAGATTGGTGGTATTATTTCTATTTTACAGTTAATAAACCTGTGGCCCAGAGAGAACAAGGAGACTGTCCCAAGGTTCCATGGTGAGTTACGGGAGCTCGAGGACTGGGATCTTGGCATCGTGTTTAGGCACAACCGCCTCTCCCAGCGGTCTCAGAACTCCCTAAGGGCAGAGCGGCGTCTTCTCCTAGACTGTCTCCTCTTGGCCTCCCATCCGGCAGACCGTGTGCTCCCAAGAGCCGTGAGAGTGGGGGTCTCCCCATTCTGCCTGTTCCAGGTCTTTGCATACTAGAGGAACGGGCAATCTGTGGCATTGTTGATCCAGTATTTACGGAGGGCCTGCTATGTGGAGGGATTCCTCATCCTTCAGGTGCTCCTAGAGCTGGGAAGGTGTAACACCAGAGGATAGAGAGTGGGTGTTTGAATACAGGTCCAGGCTGGGTGCACTCGGCTGGACAGAGCTGGGGAAGCTGCCAGAGGGGCGGGTTTCGGGTGGGAACTTTAAGAAGCCAGGGGTGCCCAAGGAGGGGTTGGAGCTGCCCCAGCAGAGAAATGAAGGTGCGAACGCTGGGGCGGATCTCGAGCAGAGTGGCCTCGGGAGCGGGAGGGGGCGGGGTGCGCTGAGTGAGCGTGGGGGCCGGCCGGGCTCTAGCTGGGAAACTCAGCCACTCTCCTGTGGCCGCCCTCCCCAACCCTCCCAGGGTCAGCCGGGCGCAGAAGCCGGAAGCTGCGCTTCCCGTCGTCCCGAAGTGCGAGAAGCTCGGCCGCAGCCCCGCGCCGAGGAGCCCCGGGAGTCCACTCCCGGGCCTCGGTCTCCCCATCTATGTGACGCCACAAGAAGTCCTGAGACGCCGCCTCGACGCGGCCGACCCCTCTCCCGCGCGTGCAACACATGGGCCTGGCGGGGCAGAGCTGCTTGTGCACAGCGGGCTGGGTGCGGGACGCTCGGCATAGCCCGGGCCCGGGGAGGCGGCTGCAGCCTGAGCGCCCGAGGCCGCCCGCCCTCCCCCGGCTTGGGGCGGGGCTGCTGTCCAGCCGCCCCTTTATCTGCCGGCTCCGCCGACCCGGCCGCCGCGGCCTTCCCAGCTCGGCTCCGGCTCAGGTACGGGGCTGCCAAGACTGGGAGGCCTGGCTGGCCGCAGACGAGGGTGCTCCCCACGGGGTGCGGCGGGGCTGCGGGGCTGGACATGGGAAGGGCAGGGCTCCTCGGGGCAGGGGAGGACGCGGAGCCGGAGGGGATCACCCGGGCTAAGTGAGAGGACGCCCGCCCGGGGAAGCAGCCAGCGGAGGGCGCAGGAGGGAGGAGCTCACTGGATGGGGGCGTCTTGGGAAGGGTGGGAGGAACAGAAGGAGCACGACTGAGGAGGATGCGGATGGGGGGGCCTGAGAGCCTGTTTGCCTAGTGAGCAGGGAAGGGGAGGGCTGCTTGGGGAGAGTGAAGGATGGAGGGCAGGGAGTGGGCAGTGGCGTCTGGTCCGGGCAAGGCCGCTGCCTTCTTGGAGGAGGACAGTCAGGGAGCTCACTGCTTTCTGGAGGGGGAATCTAGGTGAGACCGGGACAGGAAGGGGTGTGGGTGCCCAGAACCGGCTGATGTGAAGGATTCCCACTTAGGGATCCAGAAACAGTGGGAATAGCACTGCTGGGGGCCAAGAGGGGCACTTGCTCCATGGGCCCAAGCAGCCTAGACACCTTGGGGGATGAGGGAGCCTCCCCGGTGTCAGGAGAGCCTGGGGGTTCCCCACACACAGTGTGGGAAGGGAAAAACCCACAGCACTTGCCTCAAGGCTGCAGGCTTTGAAGATCCCCGGAAATTTCCCTGTGGCAGCCCCTGGAGGAGGCCTGTGGGGCTAGGCCAAGGTAAGGCCTCTGAGTCTGAAGAGTTTGATGGATTCTGAGTCTGGCTCCTCCTGGGTGGACAGCCCAGGACCCCAAGTCTGAGCTCCTATCGGAGAGAGGGACCCAGCCTCTCGTCATGAGGCCTGTGGTACCTCTGGGTCCTCTTGTTGAGAGACTGCCCCTCTCCTGCCCATAGGGTTCCTTGCTGGTCAGCAGTGAAGCGCAGGTCCTTTTTCTGTGCCCCATGCTGAGTGACTGTAGTTAGCTCACCCAACCTCTCTGAGCCTGAGAGATTCCCCCTCCTCAGAGCAGTTGTGAGTCTCAGCTCCACAGAATAATTTCTTTAAGAATTGTTTTTTCAGGCCAGCTGTGGGAGCTCACACTTGTAATCTCAGTGCTTTGGGAGGCTGAGGTGAGAGGATGGCTTAAGCCACGAGTTCAAGGTTGCAATGAGCCAAGATGGTGCCACCGTACTCCAGCCTGGGGGACAGAGCATAGACCCTGTTCAAAAAAAAAAGAAAAAGGCCGGGTGCGGTGGCTCACACCTGTAATCCCAGCGCTTTGGGAGGCCGAGACAGGCGGATCACCTGAAGTCACGAGTTTGAGACCAGCCTGACCAACATGGAGAAACCCCGTCTCTACTAAAAATACAAAATTAGCCGGGCGTGGTGGTGCATGCCTGTAATCCCAGCTACTCAGGAGGCTGAGGCAGGAGAATCGCTTGAACCTGGGAGGCAGAGGTTGCAGTGAGCCAAGATCATGCTATTGTACTTCAGCCTGGGCAACAAGAGCGAAACTTTGTCTCAAAAAAAAAAAAAAAAAAAAAAACAATGAATGAGGCTGGGCACAGTGGCTCATGATTGTAAGCCCAGCACTTTGAGAGGCCAAGGCAGGAGGATTGCTCAAGCCCAGGAATTCAAGACCAGCCTGGGCAACATAGTGAGACCTTGTCTCTACACGTAATAAAAAAATTAGCCAGGCATGGTATTGTGTGCCTGTGGTTAGGGCTACTCAGGAGGCTGAGGTGGGAGGATCGCTTGAGCCTGGGCAGTTGAGGCTGCAGTGATCGCTGCACTGCATTTCAGCCTGGTGACAGAGTGAAACCCTATCTCAAGAAAAGAAAGAATTACTTATTTCATTCTGATCACATTTTCCAGTACATATACATGGAGGCCCCAAGTGCTAAAGTTACCAAAAAAAACTAGTTTCTGTTCAGTTTTGGAAGACATGTAGGGACTTTTTCTTTAAACACTTTGGACCAAGTTGGGGAGTTAGCTTGCACTGAGGGAGGTGACCCAGTTGCTAAGAGACTGGGAGGCCAGCCAGGGTTGAAAACTTTCTGTATAATCTGTGGTCACCACTGGGTGCCTGGGAGTTGCCCGTGCTGGACAAAGGGCAAGAGCACTGGTTTTGGAGTCAGATAGACGTGCTGTGCCCTCCCGCCTCCGGGGCTGGGCCTCCAGGTTGGCTGTGGATCCAGAGAGTTGTGAGGGAGACGTAAAATGTGTGTGAAAGTTCTTGGTCAACAGCCAGCCACTATATATTATGAATGGTAGCACCTAATCTCATTAATGATATTTCAGGTGCCATATTGGGTCATCCTCACTAAAGACCCTTCAAGAGGATTTTCTTCTGACAGCCCCAGTGTTAACATTGGTCTGGCCTTATTTGTATCTAATGGGGTTAGACTTTGCCTTCCATGCTGAGAAAAAGTTATCTTTAAGAGAATGTACTGGAACAATCAGGGCCCAGAGAGGCAACAATGAATATTTTGCATGCCAAGAAGGAAACTAAAGAGGAAGTGGAATTTTAACCAAATAATGCTTATAATAGGTGTTATTTAGCTGAGCTATAAGCTCAAGGAGGGCAGGGTATTAATATATTGAGGTGTTGGCTGGGCACTGTTGCTCACGTCTACAATCCCAACACTTTGGGAGGCTGAGGTGGGAGGATGACTTGAGACCAAGAGTTCAAGACCAGCCTGGGCAACGTAGCAAGACCTTGTCTCTGCACATAATTTTAAAAAATAGGCATGGTAGCATGCACCTGTGATCCCAACTACTCAAGAGGCTGAAGAAGGATCACCGGAGCTTGGGAGGTCGAGGCTGCAGTGAGCTGTGTTCGCACCACTATGCTCCAGCCTGGGCGACAGAGCATGACCCTATCTCAAAAAAAAAAAAAAAAAAAAAAAATCCTGTGGCGTTAGCATTGGTGTGAATTCCCTGGGCTGTTAGTTGTATGAGGGCAGTGGTTTAAGTGGCTCTGTCACTGAGGAAGCTCCAGTGCCTGGCACAGAGGAGGCCTAAAGTAAATATTCTCGGACTGTCCCAGGGCCTAAGGGCCCTTGGAAGTCACTAGTGAATATACTCTTTCCTTTGACATTTGGAAAAACAGGGCCACGAGGGGAAGGGACTTGTCCAAGGTCACACAGGGATTGAGTGGCTGAGTCAGGATGAGAACCCCACAGAAACGGCAGAGCCAGCACTGTGCCAGAGCCAACACCTGGCATCCATGGCTTTGTTTTGCTTCCACAGGAGCCCAAGAGGCAGCTATTTTAATCCTCTGATTCCAAAGAGGAAACAAGCTCAGAGAGGCTGAGGGACTCTTGCAGAATCACACAGCAGGTGAATTCCAGACCCGAAATTTCATCCTCACATAAAAATGAGGCTTCTGGCTTCTCTTGAAACAGCCTGCTGGAGATTAGTGGAGGATGTCCACCCCCCAGGGCAGCAGCCTTCTCCAGTTCTCCAGGCTCACCGCCTGGCTGGCTTCCCTCCAGGCTGGATCTTCCTAGGCCCCATGGGCATTTGTGTGGGTGAGCCCGTCGGGGCAGGGAGCCTGTCTGCTTCATTTTCTGTGTGCCCCAACACGTAGAATGCCTGGGTCGCATTGAGGCTGGCATATAGTAAGCACTGAGTGAAATCTGTGAGATGGGGGTAACCCAGGGCTCTCCCTATCCATAAGCGCATTTTCCAGCACATCCCTGCAGCCTGGTCTGTTTTGCCCCAGGGGTGTTATGGGAACCTTTGACAGTGTGTATCCTTGGAGAGCAGTCTGGGGCTGGCAAGCCTTGGTTAAGGAGGGAGGTGAGCAGGGCTGACCCTGAGTTGAGGAATATGAATTGGGAGGGGTGGGGAAGTGGAGGGGAGGGGAAGGGAGGAAGGAGTGGCTCAGGCTGACAGAGGCATTCCCACTGGAGCCCTGGAGATCGCCCTTCTGAGGTTTAGCCAACCCAGAAGCCTCCTAAACCTCCTGTAAGACATGTCCAGGCCAGACCGCATGCCATTTGGATCACCTGCTAATTCGGTTCACCTTGTGCCCTCCTGCTCTCCAGGGCTGAGCTGCTGGAGTTGAGGCCCCTTCCCCTGGGGCTGTCACTTCTTAGCTACGTCTCTTGGGCTTGTGGGTAAGCACCAATTTGCACGGCTGTGTGAATTCAAAACAGTTACTCTGAATGGTCTTTGCTAAGAGCAGTTTAATGATTAAGTAAGGTCAGTGTCCTTGGAAGTCCAAACTCTAGCCAAATTTCCCTGGTCTACACCCCCAGGGATAAGGTAAATGTTTAAGAACACAGTGAAATTCCTGAGGCCTCCAAATCCAATGGAACTAGCTGTTGAGGGCTAAAAGAAGAGAGTTTTTTAGAAAACTCCAAATCTCTCAGGCTGGGGATATTTCAAAGACTACTACTATTATTAATAATAATTGCAATAATTTGTTGAGTCCCTAAATGAAGCCAAACTTTGTTCTATTAAATTTAATCTTTGCGGCAACCTATGAGGTAGATAATGTTGTCATTCCCATGAGAGAGCTAAGAATTAGAGAAAGTGAGTCACTTGTCTAAGGTCACACAGCTAGCATGTTATGGAATCAGGAGTCAAACCTGGTTTGTCTGAAGCTGAAGTCCATCTCTGCGCTTTTATAGTGTCTTCTTCTTCCTTTATTCCTAACCTCCTTCCATTCTAGTTCCCACTGAGTAGTGGACAGGAGCCACCGAAGTTTGCCTGACACCATCAGGCAGGCCCTACCATCAACCAGGCCCTAGTCACCTGGCTTTACCTTTGCCTTGCTGTGTGATCTCAGGTAAGTCAAACTTTTCAGCTGGCCCTCGGTTTCCCCATAAGTCTCATGCAGAGGTGAATGGTGAGCTGCTTGCTGCAGCGGCGGCCTGGCTAGGAAGGCACACAGTTTAGCATGGATTTTCCCACTATGGGAGTGGTGAAGCGGGGGAGGAGAGGTGTGGGAGGTTGTCTTTAGCCCCACCCTCTGGTGACATCACACAAGATACCCCCAGTCCCTGGAAGCCCCGCCCCTAGTGCCCCTCATCTGTGGAAGTGCTCAGCATCTGGTGAATTTGCCCAGTCCCACAGTAGAGGTCACCAGCTCCCAGGCTCGAGAGAAACCCCCAAGTACCCAGTGCAATTTGCCAGACTTGGAGGGGCCTATGGAGGTGAGTTGGGCTGAGCTGCCTGAATAGACAGGGCCCAGCAGCCTGGTGGGCACATGACTCAGAGGCTGACCACTCAGAGGATGCCCTGATGGTGCCCTCTGGATACCCATCCTCATCCTGCTGGCTCAGGCTTGACCCCTGCCCCTGCTTTTTCCTTTCCCCTAGATCAGAGTCCCTTTCCATGGAGTCAGGAGGTGGAAACTAATTCTGAAAACAGAACTATTTAGATGGAGTGAGGCCTCTAGCTGAGGTCTAAAGAAAACAGGATGGCGGGGCCTCTGTCATCCTAGCATGTTGCCTCCAGGTTTTGTCCATAGGGCCCATTATGTCTGGGGGAGAGAGGTGTAAGGGAGCGCTATCACTAAGCTAAGGAGGTGGCTGTGAGCCAGGGCCTCCCTGGAGAATATCAGGAGCAAGCGGGTAGCTAGCAACTTAGGGAGACTGAATTGCTAGAAGCCTAAGAAAGTAATTTATAAGAAAGGGCCTGGTTGCCTGCTTTAGACCAGGATTTTGCAAAGTTGTTCTGTAGGATGCAGACAAGGGTGCCTGGAGCAGGGCAACAGCCATGTCTGCAAGCATCTACAGACCAGTCCTGGCTCTCCCTCCTCCCTCCCCCATCCTCCTACCTTGGGTAAGGAGCTTTTTTTTGGCTTTTTTTTTTTTTTTTTTTGAGAGAGCCTCACTCTGTCGCCCAGGCTGGAGTGCAGTGGCATGATCTCGGCTCACTGCAATCTCAGCTCCCCAGGCTCAAGTGATTCTCCTGCCTCAGCCTCCTGAGTAGCTGGAATTACAAGCATGCACCACCATGCCCGGCTATTTTTTGTATTTTTGGTACACATGGGGTTTCACCATGTTGGCCAGGCTGGTCTCGAACTCCTGACCCCAGGTGATCCGCCCACCTTAGCCTCCCATTGTGCTGGGATCATAGGTGTGAGCCACTGCACCCAGCTGGGAGCTTTTAACTTCTCTGAATTTCATTATTCACAACAACAAAATGGGCAGAATAGTACCTACCTCACAGGCAAGTTATGAGAGTTAATTGCAACAGGACTGTAAAGAGTGAGCATATAGTAAACACTTTCTACATTGCAACTGGCTTTTTTTTTTTTCTTGAGGTGGAGTCTCACTTTGTTGCCCAGGCTTGAGTGCAGTAGTGCAATCTTGGCTCACTGCAACCTCTGCCTCCCAGGTTCACGCCATTCTCCTGCCTCAGCTTCCCAAGTAGCTGGGACTACAGGCGGCCGCCACCACGCCCAGCAAATTTTTGTATTTTTAGTAGAGATGGGGTTTCACCATGTTGGCCAGAATGGTCTCAATCTCTTGACCTCGTGATCCGCCTGCCTCGGCCTCCCAAAGTGCTGGGATTACAGACATAAACCACCACTCCCAGCCTCAGCTGGCTTTATAATTGTTACTAGGGAAGGAATCCATGGTCACATAAGCTTGGCAAATGTTGATTCAACAAAGCTAAGCTGACTTCTTCACTGCAGGACTTCTTGGAGCTTTTTTTTTTTTTTTGAGACGAGTTGCTGGAGTGCAGTGGCACAATCTTGGCTCCCAGCAACCTCCGCCTCTGAGGCTCAAGGGATCTTCCTGCCTCAGCTTCCCAAGTATCTGGGACTACAGGTGCACACCACCACACCTGGCTAATTTTTGTATTTTTTCATAGAGACGGAGTTTTACCATGTTGCCCAAGCTGGTTTCGAACTCCTGATTGCAAGTGATCTGCCTGCCTTGGCCTCCCAAAGTGCTGGGATTACAGGCATGAGCCATCGTGTCCAGCCCTTGTAAGAGTCTTTAATGTGCTGTTATATCTTGGGAAGTTCCAAGAGTGGGATATGGAGCACAGGACTGGACTTATCAGATCACAAGCACCCAGGAGCTAGGTGTCCACGGGGCACAACCATCACCATCATTCGCTGGTCTTTGACGCAATAGTAGAGTAGAAACCTTGCTGGGTGGGAGGACTCTGGGGAAGGCCTTCCAGTTTCTGGGCTCTGCTTTCCTAAGTGTAAAACAAGAGAGCTGCACAAGATGCTTTCAGAGGTCTTTTCTGGCCCTCCAAGGTTCTTAGTTGGGAAGACAAAGTTTTGGACAAGAGTAAGGGGCCAGATTGTTGAGGTTGAAGCCATCTCTTGGGGAGATGGAGAAATCCAGTACTGGCTCCCCAACCAGCAAGGCTGGCCAATGGGGGTCTTGTGCCCTGGATGGAAGTGGCCCCATTAATTAGTGCAGCAGTAATGTCTGCTTCCCAAATCTGCCCTGTGCCAGGCTTGCTGGGGAATAGAAGAGTCCTGCACATGCCTGTTGTCCTAAGCAGCAGCCCTTGTGCAGCAGTGTAACAACTCCTGCTTCCCCACTGGACTAGGAAAGGCTGGGGAGCAGGGCTGATGCCAGAATCCTAATGCAGGAGAAGCTTAGGAATGCAAATCAGGCTCCGGAGATGTGGGCTTGGGGGGTTGGGATCGTCTTGATGCTGCCCTTGCATATAGCAAGCACCCTGCATTTACTTGGACTGCGTGTGACTTATTTGATTGGTTTTGGGGGTGATCACAGTGCCGGGGGCAGAGATCATGAATGCTTTTTCCTGCCTGAATCTCTTTTCCTTGTCTGGTGACTGGTGCAAAGGTAGTCACAATAAATATCTGATGAACCTGAACACTGGGTCCAATAAGTAAGCTTGGAGGGAATTTATTTGGCGGGCAGGGAGGGATTGTCTGGCAGATTTTTCAATAAATGTTTGAGTTAATGAGTGACACAGTGAATGATGGTAAGTCTGAATTTTGTAATTGAAGCCAGGTAAAACAGTGTATAATTAGGAAATGATGAATAGCCCTTGCCACCTTGTGTTGCAAAGTGCAGTTTAGGGTAGTGGTTAAGAGCACAGTGGGTCACACTTGTAATCCCAGCACTTTGGGAGGCCAAGTGGGAGGATCGCTTGAGGCCAGGAGTTTGAGACCAGCCTGGGCAACAAAGTGAGACCCTGACTCTACAATAAAGTAAAAATAAATTTAAAAAATCAGCTGGGCATGGGAACATGCACCTGTGGCCCCAGCCACTTGGGAGGCTGATAGGAGGATTGCTTGAGTCCATGAGGTCAAGGCTGCAGTAAGCTGTGATTATACCACTGTGCTCCAACCTGAGGGACAGAGCAAGACGTAATCTAAAAATAAAACAAGGCGGGGCGCTGTGACTCACACCTGTAATCCCAGCACTCTGGGAGGTCCAAGGCGGGCAGATCACCTGAGGTCAGGAGTTTGAGACTAGCCTGGCCAATGTGGTGAAACCCGTCTCTACTAAAAACACAAAAATTAGCTGGGCGTGGTGGCAGGCACCTATAATCCTAGTTGGGAGGCTGAGGCAGGAAAATTGCTTGAACCCAGGAGGTGGAGGCTGCAGTGAGCCGAGATTGAGCCATTGCACTCCAGCCTGGGTGACAGAGCAAGACTCTGTCTCAAACAAACAAAAACAAACAAACAAAAAAACAGACTTGAGTTCAGAGCATGCCTGTGCCATCTGCTACTTCCTGGCTAGGTGGCTGGGCAAGGCACTTAACTTCTCTGTACCTCAGTTTCCTTACCTGGGAAATGGGAATAATGATAGTGTCTGCCTCTCAGTGTTGCTGGGAAGCTTCTAGCAGGTGCTATGTGAGCATTTGCTGTGATTTGTTTTTGTTTCTATATCTTTTGCCAGATCATGACATTCATAAGGGCAGGGATCAAATCTTCCATTCTGTTCCTTGTCCCATCCAGCACAAGGTCTGAGGCAAAGAAGGGCTCAGTAAGTGTTTGCTAAATGAATGAATCAAGGTTAAACTGTGTAACCCATTATAGGTGAGGGGAAAGTGGGGTTGGGGGAGCAGTAAGTAGGCACCAGAGGTGGCAGCTTGTACTGGCCTTAAAGGATTTCAGTGCAGGGAAAGGAAGGTGGCACAGGGTGTGACATTGGGGTTAGGTGGGGAATAAGGGTAGTAGGAGCAGGTCATGTGGGCCTTGAATGCCAGGGTAAGGGGTTATATTGGATTTATTTGGAACTAGCAACATGGGCAGTTGGGGGAGGGTCTGGAGAGGGGATTTTGAGAGTAGGGGTATGGTTCATCAGTTGTTAACTGGGTACTTTCAGGAAAAAAGTGGTCTTTTGAGTTGGGCCTGGAAGGATATGAAGTATTATCAGAATGGTGTCATGTTGTTCTTTTTTTTTTTTTTTTTTTTTTTGAGATGGAGTTTCCCTCTTATTTCCCAGGCTGGAGTGCGATGGTATGATCTCAGCTCACTGCAACCTCCACCTCCCAGGTTCAAGTAATTCTCCTGCCTCAGCCTCCCAAGTAGCTGGGCTTACAGGCATGTGCCACCACATCCGGCTAGTTTTGTATTTTTAGTAGAGACGGGATTTCTCCATGTTGGTTAGGCTGGTCTCGACCTCCCGACCTCAGGTGATCCTCTCGCTTCAGCCTCCCGAAGTGCTGGGATTACAGATGTGAGCCACCGCGCCTGGCCATGTTGTTCTTTCATTCAGCAACACTGAGTGCCAGCTACTTGCTAAGCACCAGGGATTCACAAAATAATGAGACAAACTGCCTCCCCTTGATGAGCTCACATGAACAATCATGAGAAGTGTGATAATGGTCAAAGGATGGTCTGATGATAAGCACTCAAGTGGAGGGGTCATCGTAGGAGGTTCAGGAGGCCAGGGAAAGCAACCTAGAAGAAATGGTTTTTTTTGTTTTTTTAAGAGACAGGATCTCGCTTGAGAGCAAACTTGATCAAGCTTGAGTGTAGTAGTGTGATCATAGCTCACTGTACGTCGAATTCCTGGGCTCAGGGATCTTCCTGCCCCAGCCTCCCCAGTAGCTGGGACTATAGGCACATGCCACCATGCCTGGCTAACTTTTTTGTAGGGATAGGATCTCACTATGCTGCCCAAGCTGGTGTTGAACTCCTGGCCTCAGGAATCCTCCTGCTTTGGCCTCTCGAAGCACTTGGATTACAGGAGTGAAGCCTCATGCCTAGCCAAGAAATAGGTTTTTGAGGAATGAATAGGGGTTTGCCTAGTAGGCGAGATGAGGAAAATGTCTCAGGCAGAGGGAGCGACTTGTATAAAGCTACAGACATGTGAAAGCGCAGTCCAGGGGTTGGTGGCACTGTGACTGGATTTGATGTGCACTGTGGTTACACAACAAGACTGGAGAAGGTAGCAGGGACCAGGTCATGCAGGGTAGTGGAGGGTCAGTAGGGGACCCTGGCCACTCTCGAGGAGCTAGATAGGTAGAGGCAGTGGGTCTGTTAGCAAGGTCATTACTGCCACCAGATGAACACTAATGGTGGCGTGAACACAGGGGCTGAGAGAGCCTGACCCCTGTCATGTGTTTCACATGGCCAGATCTGTTCTTTAGGAGAGAAAACAGCTGGTGCTGCTGTGTAGAGCCTGGACCGGAAAGGAAATTAACGAGGCAGGGAGCCTTATTAATTAATACATTCCTTAGACATTTATTGAGCACCTACTATGTGTCAGGCACTGTTCTAGGTACCTGGGATCCTTGCTCTCATGAGGTCAGAAATGAGGAATTCCATAGGACGAGTCTTCTATTCTTAAACCCAGTGTAAGGATAAGGCCACTGGGGAGGAGGGAGTAGGATTTGGGCATCAGAGCCCCCCAGCTGCTGCTCATGGGGGTGAGGACACCAGGCCCCTGACTTTGCTCTGGTCTCTCTCCCAGCTCCCTGCCAAGGCCCACAGCCATGGCCATGGCCCAGAAGCTCAGCCACCTCCTGCCAAGTCTGCGGCAGGTCATCCAGGAGCCTCAGCTATCTCTGCAGCCAGAGCCTGTCTTCACGGTGAACCGAGCTGAGGTGCCACCGCTCTTCTGGAAGCCGTACATCTATGCGGGCTACCGGCCGCTGCATCAGACCTGGCGCTTCTACTTCCGCACACTGTTCCAGCAGCACAACGAGGCCGTGAATGTCTGGACCCACCTGCTGGCGGCCCTGGTGCTGCTGCTGCGACTGGCCCTCTTTGTGGAGACTGTGGACTTCTGGGGAGACCCACACGCCCTGCCCCTCTTCATCATTGTCCTTGCCTCTTTCACCTATCTCTCCTTCAGTGCCTTGGCTCATCTCCTGCAGGCCAAGTCCGAGTTCTGGCATTACAGCTTCTTCTTCCTGGACTACGTGGGGGTGGCCGTGTACCAGTTTGGCAGTGCCTTGGCACACTTCTACTATGCTATCGAGCCCTCCTGGCATGCCCGGGTGCAGGCCGTTTTTCTGCCCATGGCTGCCTTTCTCGCCTGGCTTTCCTGCACTGGCTCCTGTTATAACAAATACATCCAGAAACCAGGCCTGCTGGGCCGCACATGCCAGGAAGTGCCCTCCGCCCTGGCCTACGCACTGGACATCAGTCCTGTGGTGCATCGTATCTTCGTGTCCTCCGACCCTGCCATAGATGACCCAGCTCTTCTCTACCACAAGTGCCAGGTGGTCTTCTTTCTGCTGGCTGCTGCCTTCTTCTCTACCTTCATGCCCGAGCGCTGGTTCCCTGGCAGCTGCCATGTCTTCGGGCAGGGCCACCAACTTTTCCACATCTTCTTGGTGCTGTGCACGCTGGCTCAGCTGGAGGCTGTGGCACTGGACTATGAGGCCCGACGGCCCATCTATGAGCCTCTGCACACGCACTGGCCTCACAACTTTTCTGGTCTCTTCCTGCTCACGGTGGGCAGCAGCGTCCTCACCGCGTTCCTCCTGAGCCAGCTGGTACAGCGCAAACTTGATCAGAAGACCAAGTGAAGGGGGGTGGCATCTAGTAGGGAGGGAGGTATTGTGGGGGTACAGGGGTCTGGGCTTGGCTCCAGGTGGGAACAAGTCCTGGTAAAATTGTTTGTGTCTGGCCCACAGTGACTCTCTGTGCACCACTCAAGGGTGTCACTGGCCAATTCTTGGATTTACCGATTGGCTGGGAGTTGCTGGGGTCCACTTCTGGGCCTGCCCCAGCTCCTTGTCCAGGGAGAGGGAAAGAGTTAAAGGTGTGGGCCACTCCAGCTTGCCCCTCCACTGCTACTCACTGGGGTGAGGCTGGGGATCAGCTTGGTGAGGATTGGGGCTTCTAGATTGTCTAGGCAGGAGGTGAAACTTAGGCCAGAGTCACATTTGAGCTGAGCCAGGATAGGCCTTGGCAACCCACTTCTACTCAGATTTCATTGCTGGATGCGGAAGGGGCAGGCCCAAAATATATGCAGGATCTTACTGTCCCTTGAAGTCCAGCCACAAGTGTTGGCGCTGCAGAGAGACCCCAAAGGTAGTAGATTGTGACAGACAGAAATGGGTCCCATCCAGTGCTTCATACCCCTTCAGTCACCATCCCAGACAGTGAGCCCCAGATCTTCTAGCTCTGGCTTCTGTGTCCCACACAGCCTGTTCCCAGCTTCTTTCCTGGTCCCCTTGTTAAGGATTCATTTATCCAGTGTTGAATGGATAAGTGGCCTGGGCCTCTGCTCAGAGGCAGGTCACCGCTGGGCCCTGAGGATCAATGCAAGATGATAAAGACTTTTTTTTTTTTTTTTTTTTTGAGAAGGAGTTTTGCTCTTGTTGGCTAGGCTGGAGTGCAATGGCGCAATATTGGCTCACTGCAACCTCTGCCTCCTGGGTTCAAGTGATTTTCCTGCCTCAGCCTCCCGAGTAGCTGGAATTACTGGCATGTACCACCATGCCTGGCTAATTTTCTGTATTTTTAGTAGAGATAGGGTTTCTCCATGTTGGTCAGGCTGGTCGCAAACTCCTGACATCAGGTGATCCGCCCGCCTTGGCCTCCCAAAGTGCTGGGATTAGAGGCATGAGCCACCGTGCCTGGCGGACAAAGGCTTTGATACCAGAATGAACTGTCAAGGGAAGTGCTGAGGAGGGATTAACCTGTGCTGCCTGGGACCCTCAGGGTCTTGGGTTGGGGAGTGTGAATAGGAGTTTGCAGATGGAGAATAGGAAGGGCATTCCAGGCAGAGGGAAACTTGTGCAGAGACCCAGAGGTGCAGAAGGAAAAGTGGGGCTGGGGCTGGGGTGGTCTGGATTATGGCCTGGATGCAATAAAGTGACTGTGACAGTAGCCACCTCTTTGTTTTTTGTCTCCTGTTCAGGGAGGGACCCCTGCTCACATTACTGGAGGAGGTTTTCGGAGGAAGTTGGGGCCCCTGGGAGTGGACATAGGGTGAAGGGAGCAGTTCTTGTTTTATCTTTGCTGGGGGATGGGGTTGGGGCCTTATATACCATATCTATATATACAAAATTTGTTTGGTAAGGGAGTAGGGGGCAGTTTTATTACTAAAGTTTTAGAAGTAGTTATAATGTGTTTAAAATATATATAATCCCACTTTATAATCTGACAAAGACTTTTGTTTGTTCTTCAATTAAGGAAGGTTTTTTTGTTTTAACTGAAGGGGGCAGAGGCGTGCACACTCCACCATGCATATTGAGCCCCCTCGCATGCGCACCAAAGGAGTATGTTATGTTAACTTTTATAATATTGCTTTTTCCATAGTACACAGCAATATATGTATAATGAAGGAAAATTGGGAAGATAAGAAAACCCAAATTAATTAGAAATTTCACTTCACTGCTAAAATATCGTGGGGGACCTTACGAAATACACACACACACGTAAAATATGTGTATATCAATATTTTGATATAGGCCAGGTGCAGTGGCTCACGCCTGTAATCCCAGCACTTTGGGAGGCTGAGGCAGGCGGATCAGCTGAGGGCAGGAGTTTGAGACCAGTCTGGCCAATATGGCGAAAATCCATCTCTACTAAAAACACAAAAATTAGCCAGGTGTGGTGGCGCACACCTATAGTCCCAGCTACTTGGAAGGCTGAGGTGGGAGGATCACGTGACCCCAGGAGGTTGAGGTTGCAGTGAGCCGAGACTGCCTGGGGGAGATGGCTCTGTCCACAATGAAGACAGGCTCTGGCTGCAGAGATGGGTGAGGCTCCTGACTGACCTGCTGCAGACTGGGCAAGAGGTGGCTGAGCTTCTGATTCTCCCCCTGACAAAAAAAATTTAAAAATTTTTGACCGGGCACAGTGGCTCACGCCTGTAATCCCAGCACTTTGGGAGGCCAAGGTGGGCGGATCACGAGGTCAGGAGTTCGACACCAGCCTGGCCAATATAGTGGAACCCCATCTCTACTAAAAATACAAAAATTAGCTGGGTGTGGTGGCGTGTGCCTGTATTTCCAGTTACTAGGGAGGCTGAGACGGAAGAATCGCTTGAACCCAGGAGGCGGGGCTGCAGTGAGCTGAGATCGTGCCACTGCACTCCAGCCTGGGTGACGGTGAGACTGTCTCAAAAAAAAATTTTTTTTATATATATACAATATGTAAAAATTACATATAATATACATATATTCCATCTATGTAGATTGTGGTTAGGGACAGAAGGATGGGTAGGGTGCCCGCATTTTTGCATTTCCAAGGGGTTTTCTGAATTCACAAAGTACTTTCACAAACTTCATTTGATCCTCTTTTAAAATCCAAGGCACAGTAAACAGTGAAAGCAGGACTGAAAGCTAGTTTTGGACCCCAGATTTTAACCTTTTCAAAATCCTCTTCCATGTGGCTTCGTAGTTACGCTTACATTAAAAAAAAAAAAATTACCAAAGTTGTTCGCACACTCGAGTGTCTAGTAACCACTTAGGGCGAGGACCCCTGGTCTGGAGTCTACGGGCCTGATCTCGTATCAGCCGCTTCCTTCTTGGGGTGATCGCGAAGATTCAGCGATGACACGAACAAATTCCTAAGCCCGGGGTAGTTATTATATTTACTGTAAGAAGTTTTCAATGCAGCAAAAAGAAAATGTACGTTTCTGAGGCTGTCGAGAACCGTTCACGCAGCAGTTTCCGAAATCCGGTCTTGAATGAACAGATCAGAAAGAAAACGCACTCCTCGGCGCAGGGAAAGGCGCCGCAAGCACTCAAGGACCGGCGGCGAAGGTTAGTGAGTGGGCGGGGCACAGCGAAGGGAGCGGGCCTTGCCGGGGGCGGGGGCCTTGCCGGGGCGGAGCTGACGCCCGGGGCAGTCGCGACGTAGCCCCGCCCCCAGCGTTGGCGCGAGATCCGAACGTCGGCGGCAGTGGCGTTTGCTGAGGTGTCTGGAGCGTGAGCCGGCGTCCTGCCGGCTTGGTCTCCTCAGCGGCCATGAGGCGGACAGGCCCCGAGGAGGAGGCCTGCGGCGTGTGGCTGGACGCGGCGGCGCTGAAGAGGCGGAAAGTGCAGGTGGGACGCTGGGGGATGAGAGGGCGTTGGGGACAAGGTAGGGCCTGGAGGCGTAAGACGGGAGGAGCAGGACGGGAGGAGTTTGACGGGAGGAGTTTGGGGGACACCTGGAGGTAATGGAAGCGAAGTCAGGGACAGAGGGAACAGCATTGGGGATTCACAGGCAAGAGGGATTGGGGTCTGAAGAAAGTTGAAAAATGGGGCTTGGAGAGGGTGGGAGGGACGGAAGAAAGGAGCGTGCTGTTGAGGGGGGTGGAGGAGCGGTGCCCCGGGACGGGCGGCGAGGGTTCAGGTGTGCGAGAGGCGGAGGGAAAGTTCGCCCGGAGCAGTTTAACTGAGCAGGCTCCCAAGGAGGCCGGAGTCCCCGCGAGACGTCCTAGTAGATGCTGGAGCATTGGGAGATGCATGCGAATGCAAATTTGGGAAATTCTCACCCCAGGGTCTGTTTCCACCCAATTTGCCAAGTTGCAGGCCTTCTAGCTGCCAAGAACCGGTAGCTCTGAGGGGAAGAGTAGAAGCTATGGGAAGGGGAGCTGGCCTCCTATCTACTGGGTGCCGGATACTGCATTCGATGCTGAATATGCGTTATATGTGTCGTCATTCTTACTGGAAATGAGGAAACTGAGGTTCAGGAACTAACCTAGGCCCGCCTAACTAGAAGGAGCTGGAAATCACACTCAGGTCTGTCACCTAGGCAAGATGCTCTTCAGTTTCTATAAAGAAACAAAAGTGTGAGATAATAATCGTTCATGTTTATTGAGCATCTTACGCTGGTGCTAAGTGTTTTAGGTATGTTATCTTGTTTGGTACAGTTCTATATGGTAGATAGTGTAATGATACCCATTTTACATACGGAAACAGGCTCAAAACAGACACTAGGGGCAAGATTCTTGCTCTCAAGTTGCTCACAGTCTTACAGGGAAAAAAAGAGGTGTATAAATAATAACAACAATACCTGACCTTTATTGAGTGCTTTCTATGTATCAGGCACTTTGCCGGGACTCATCAATGGCAGGTACTCACCAAAATTCAATAAAGTAGATTTTGTCATTATCCTGGTTTTATAGATGAAAAATTTGATCGTTTTATTATTATTATTATTTATTATTATTATTATTATTATTATTATTATTTTTAGACAGAGTCTCGCTCTGTTGCCCAGGCTGGAGTGCAACGGCGCAATCTCGGCTGCCTCCAAGCTCCACCTCCCGGGTTCACGCCATTCTCCTGCCTCAGCCTCCCGAGTAGCTGGGACTGCAGGCGCCCGCCCCCATGCCCTGCTAATTTTTTGTATTTTTATTAGAGATGGGGTTTCACCGTGTTAGCCAGGATGCTCTCGCTCTCCTGACCTCAAATGATTCGCCCATCTCGGCCTCCCAAAGTGCTGAGATTACAGGTGTGAGCCATCGTGCCTGGCCGATCGTTTTATTTTTAAAAAAATTATCAAAATGGCCGGGTGCGGTGGTTCACGCCTTTAATCCCAGTGCTTTGGGAGGCCGAGGCGGGCAGATCACCTGAGGTCAGGAGCTGGAGACGGCCTGGCCAACATGGCAAAAACCCATCTCTAGTAAAAAAAAAAATACAAAAATTTGCCGGGTGTGGTGGCAGGCGCCTGTAATCCCAGCTACTCGGGAGACTGAGACAGGAGAATTGCTTGAACCCGGGAGGTGGAGGTTGCAGTGAGCTGAGATCGAGCCAGGGCACTCCAACCTGGGTGACAGAGCAAGACTCCATCTCAAAAAAAAAAAAAAAAAGATCAAAATGTACAGTAGCTGTTTATTACTCCTTGAATTAGGAATATGCCGTTTGTACCCTTAGAATACATTCTTGAATGACATGGAATTGGGGGGAAACTTGTATACTACTTTGATTTGTTAATTTTGGAGACAGGATCTCTGTCACTCAGGCTGGAATGTGGCGGTATAATCACGACTAACTACAGCCTCAGTCCTGTCCCCGGGCTCCAGGTGATCCTCCTGCCTCAGCCTCCCAAGTAGCTAGGACTACAGGCATAGTACCACAAAGCCCAGCTCATTTTTTGTATTTTTTGTTTGTAGAGATGGGGTTTCGCTGTGTTGCCTAGACTGGTCTTGAACTCCTGAGCTCAAGTGATCTGCCCACTGTGGCTTCTCAAAGTGCTGGGATTACAGGTGTGAGCCACTGTACTCAGCCACCAGTTTAATTTAGAAAGAAGACAAAAATAGAATTAGGAAGAGTTCAGGAGAGAGAGAAAGGGAATATTCCACAGGGAACAGGAGAGCCAATATTTGTCTCTCTGTGTATAATTCTGTTTTGTTTTTTGAAAAGGAGTCTCGTTCTTGTTGCCCAGGCTGGAGTGCAATGGTGCGATCTTGGCTCACTGCAACCTCCACCCCCCAGGTTCAAGCAATTCCCCTGCCTCAACCTTCCGAGTAGCTGGGATTACAGGCATGCACCACCTTGCCCTGGTAATTTTGTATTTTTAGTAGAGATGGGGTTTCTCCATGTTGGTCAGGTTGGTCTTGAACTCCCAACCTCAGGTGATCTGCCTGCCTTAGTGTCCTGGGATTACAGGTGTGAGCCACCATGCCCGGCCTAATTCTGTTTTTTTGTTTGGAGTCTTGCTCTGTTACCCACGCTGCAGTGTAGTGGCGTGATCTCGAGTCACTGCAGCCTCTGCCTCAGCCTCCCGAGTAGCTGGGATTACAGGCATGTGCCACCACACCTGGCTAATTTTTGTATTTTTAGTAGAGACAGGGTTTCACCATGTTGACCAGGCTGTTCTCGAATTTCTGGCCTCAAGTTATCCACCTGCCTCAGCCACCCAAAGTGCTGAGATTACAGGCATGAGCCACAGTGCTTGGTCTGTCTATAATTCTTATACCCCCAAATCCTACCTTTTTCCCTGGCAGTGTTATGGTGAAAACATTTGTCTTGTTGATGTAGTGCATGGCAGGTATGGAATCCTCCAACATCTCTAGGCCCTTACCTTACTCTGATTTCTGGAGGCCTGGACCTTATTACCATACTCACTAACACCATTTCTCCTTCTTGTTACTTGATTCCCAGAGATACTCGTTAAAATCTTTGGTTCCTGACTATTATCTATTACTCTGACTTCCAACCCAGAGAAGAGTACTAAAGATTCCCTTTCACAAGGTGCCTCTTCCTAGAGTGGCTATCAAATAGGCATATAGTCCTTTGAGATTTAATGTCAGGGATGGATGGGCAGTAGCTAGTGGCTGTGTTTTTGAAAACATGCCTCTTCCCACTTGATCTCTACACAGAATTGTTTGCTATTTATGAGAGAATAAGTGGTTTGTAGTCTGGTCAGTAGACAATAGTGGTCTATGTTTGGAGTGAGTTTGCTTCTCTCCTAATTTGAACTACCCATTTGGCCTCATTACTTAGGCCTTGTATGTATACTAGTCATTTTGTTTTTATATTATGAAAATAATATATGTTTGTTTAAAAAAAAAAAATAGGGCTGTGGCTCGTGCCTGTAATCTCAGTACTTTGGGAAGCTGAGGCTGGAGATCACTTGAGGCCAGGAATTTGGGACCAGCCTGGGCAACATAATGAAACCCCAACTCCACAAAAAATAAAAAAAGTTTATCATGGGTGGAGGAGTGTGGCAGTTTTAATATATGTCCACAAATCCTTCAGTACTTTTCCTTCTAAAAGATAGAACTTAATTCCCCTTTCCTTGAGCACAGACAGTATTTAGTGACTCCGATGACTAGAATGTGGTAGGTTATAGTGTTAGAATTCTGAGTCTAAGCCTGGCCAACATGGTGAAACCCCATCTCTGCTAAAAATAGAAAAATTAGCCAGGCTTGGTGACGGGTGCCTATAATCCCAGCTACTCAGGAGGCTGAGACAGGACAATTGCTTGAAGCCGGAAGATGGAGGTTTCAGTGAGCCAAGGTTGCACCACTGCACTCCAGACAGGGTGATAGAGCAAGACCCCATCTAAAAAAAAAAAAAAATTCTGAATCTAGGTCATAAATGACATTGCAGCTTTAGCTTCATTGTCTCTTTGGGAGAAGCCAGCTGTCATGTTGTGAGGACACTCAAGCAGCTCTGTGGAGAGGTTCATGCAGTGAGGAGCTGAGGCCTTTTGTCAACAGTTGTGTGAGTGAGTGAGTCATCTTGAAATTGGATACTGCACCTCTGGTTGATATTTTGAATGCAACCTCACTAGACTGTGAGACAGCCCACCCATCTAGGCTTAACCCAAATTCTTCATGCACAGAAGTTGTGAGATAATAAATGCCTGGCTGGATTTCAGAATTGCCATTGACTGGTGACCCACTTGTACCTCTTATTTCCCCCTTTTTGAACAGAATGTCTGTAACAGTTATGCTTGTTCCAAATTGTATGTTAGATGTATGAGGGAAGATAATTTGTCTTTAGTTCACAGGCCTGCAGATCTAAAGGAACTGTACTTAAACTACACTTTTGGACTTCACATGTACCTGTTTTAGATGCTAGTATCTTTGATATTAAGCTAATGCTATAAAGAGATGAGATTTTTGTAGAGTTTTGGGAGGGAGTATATTTTGCATATAGGAAGAATGTAAGTAATTTGGGGCCAGAAGGTGGACTGTGATGGTTTTAAAATATGTCCACACTCTTCCCTTCAAGAGGTGGAGCTTCATTCTCCTGCCTTTATGTTTGGATTGGACTTGGTAACTTGCTATATATTGATTGATTTATTTATTTTTTTTGAGATGGAGTCTCACTCTATTGCCCAGACTGGAGTGCAGTGGCGTGATCTCGGCTCACTGCAACCTCTACCTCCCAGGTTCAAGCAGTTCTCCTGCCTCACCTTACGAGTAACTGGGATTATAGGCATGCATCACTACGCCTGGCTAATTTTTGTATTTTTAGTAGAGGCAGGGTTTCACCATGTTGGTGAGGCTGGTCTCAAACTCCTGACCTCAGGTGATCCACCGGCCTTGGCCTCCCAGAGGGATTACAGGCGTGAGCCACTGCGCCCGGCTGTAACTTGCCTCTAA